CTCCTCAGCCAGGAGGATCAATATAAGGGGCAGGTGCTGTGGGGGATTCTCAGTGACTCTGGCTGTTTTTTCCCCAAGGGCCTGAAATCTCCTCACCATGCTCTGGGCTCCCCTCATCGTCCTGCTGGGGACGTGGTGCACAGGTGAGAACAACGGGAGTGGATTAAATACACAATGAAGTTGCTGCTGAAGCCAATGTGCAAACTGTGTCACTAGTGTCCAGGGGCGGTCAGGGAGGGTTTGACAGGTTTTTACCATATTTTCCAGGTTCCAGCTCACAGCTTCTGCTGACTCAGCCGCCCTCAGTGTCAGTGTCCCCAGGAAACACCATGAAACTCTCCTGCACCATGAGCAGTGGGACCAGCATCAGTGGCTACGCTGTGTCCTGGTACCAACAGAAACCTGGGAATTCTCCACAATACCTGCTGTATTACTATATGGATACCAACAAGGGCCAGGGCTCTGGGGTCCCTGCTCGCTTCTCTGGGTCCAAAGACACGGCCAGTAACGCCGGCTATCTGACCATTGCCGGAGCCCTCACAAAGGATGATGCTGACTATTACTGTGTTGTGTGGAGTGGGAGTGCTCCTCACAGTGACACAGACAGATGGGGAAGTGAGACAAAAACTTCCCATCCCGCCTCTCCTGCAGCCTGGGCTCTGTGGGGACCTGAACAACTTGCAGAGTTTAGTCTCCCCCTGTAACACATCACACTAACAGCTGCTCTTTGCAGTGAATTTTGGTTCCTCACACCCTGAAAGTGGCCTCAGCAACGCTTTAAGTCAAAGACTCTCTAGGTAGGCCCAGGCCGAGGGTCCCAGGCTCCTGAGTACAATGAGGAGATCAGGATCTCATCTTTCTTTAAAACAAAACCTGTAACACTCACCATTGTGAAGAAAAACTTGGAAATGTGATTTGAATGTAACCAGTGCCTGCCTGAATGTGCAGAGAGCCTGAAATTAGAGCAACAGGACATGCAAACAGCCTTATTCATGTCAATTGTGCAACCTGCTTCTCAGGGGACTCCCACCAGCAACACCCAGCAGGGTCTGAGTGGACCTTTACTGATCCTGTCCCATCATAACACAGCTGGAGTGGGGCCATCAGGCAAGGCCACAAGGAGTCCCCAGCCTGCCTGGGTGAGTGCTGATGCCTCTCCCTGCTGGGACGGAGACCTGGTGACAGAGGAAATGGTTCCAGAGAGTGGGGAAGCCCCTGCTGCACCAAATGGAGTCATGGCTGTGCTCGCTCTTGTGCGGATGACCCCTGGCCCCGACAAGCCCAGGAGCAGAAGGACCGTGGCCTGAGGGCAAGGCCAGGACACAAGGGGGCTGTGCTAGGCAGGCGTGTAGGGCCTCTGAATGTCTTCATCTGGCTCTTACAGACACAGCTCTCTATGGCCCTTGCTCTTTCCCTCCTCACACTGTCACTGCTGTGGTTTGCCGGACACCTCTGCTCTTCACCTGCTCAGTCTCTCTCTCTTTGGGTGAGGGGTGAAGCAGAGCTCTTCCTTGGTGAATCCTTGCTCTGGGTGAACAGCCTCTTGTCTCCTCCTTCCCTCTCCTCCTGCAGGACAGGGACTGTCTCTGGGTCACCATCCCCTCAGCGTGGGCAATGGGAGGAGAGCCCCAGTTACAGTCTCCTGTGACATCCCTAGTCAGGGCTCCAGAGATCTCACCAGGGGGGGCCTGCAGCAAAGAGGGGGCTGCAAGATCCTGAGAGTCTGGATACAAACCAGCCCGTGGGTGGGTGATGGAGCGCGGTGAATCAGGATGTAAAGGAATGACAGTCCTGATGCCATCCACCTCCCCCTCCCCCCCAATTCCAGCAGGTTCCACAACAGCTGCAATTCCTCCTTCATAGTCCAACCTGCTGGGGATTGGGATAAATCCTCCAACAACCCCACGGGATACCAACATGTTGAAATGTGCAGTGAGGGGACAGAGCCCTCAAAAGGGAGGAAAGCTCATCAAGGCAATTGAAGTTGTCTGATAAAATGACTGATCTCCCCAGAGATGGGAGGAAGTCGATGGCGAGATCAGCCTGGTCACACACAGAAGAAGGAGCTGCGAAGGAACAGCCCGTGTGCTGCAATGCCTGTGAAGTGATGCTGCTCCACTGCCCTGCAGAGGAACAGGATCCTGGTGTGTGTGACATTGACCACTAGGGGGAGCTGGTCTGCCACAAGCTGCAGAAGGGTGCGGAATGGGGTGTGCAGGTCACTGTGACCAGCCACCAGCTGCTGCGGTAGAGTCGCCTCTGGCCTCAAGGGCTTTTCATACCCTAACGGCTCTTAGATGTATGGTACATATGAGCTCCCCTAGGGGCCTTCAGCTCTGGGGACCCAACTTCTCATCCAGCCCTGTCTGCCCTCCCTGCTCCATGATCTCTAGGGCAGGGGCTCCCCCCCAGGGCACGATGAAATCCCCAAACCCTGAGGGCAGAGGGGGAGAAGCACTGGGGCTGCCTACGCCTGCAGCCCCTCCTGCTTCCTCCCTCCCCCCAGTCACTCCGTGCTCTGCCCCAGGGACCCATGTGTAAAGGTGGTGCTGGCCCCTGGCCACCTGCAGGCCCCACGACTCACAGTGACCAACGGGCTCCTCGCCATCTTCAAATGGTGCTGCCCTGAGTTAAAGAGCAGGTGAAAAGGAAGCAGCTGGAAGCACCATCCTAGCCCTCTACCAGCACCACAGCACCCCACTGCTCCCTGCTCAGCCAAGCCACCTCCCCCACCCAGCAACCCCCAAACCATGGCCCCACTCGGCAGCACTCACTCCAGGCAGCATCTCACCAGTGATCACCCAGAATCTAGCCATGTTTCTGGTTGTGACCCAAAGCCTGGTGGTATGTGACTGAAAGGGATTGTGGGTTGGGGCCATGACAACAAATCTCAGCTGGTTTTGTTGCCCCAGGTGCAGACAGTCAGAGAGTCTCTGCTCCATGAGCTAAGTGGCAGAGCAGGTTGTACAGACTGGGAGCTCCTCAGTTTCAGGATTCTCCCTATTGTCCCCTGGCAAACAGAAAACAAAAGAATCCTTCCCTATCTCCGTTAAAATGGGGATTTATATAGACAAGCTCTCCCCGTGTTACTGTCGTCCCAAAGGGGGTGATGGTCATAGGTATTGGCAGCCAATCAGCAGGGAACAGATTTGCATGAAGGGGCCGTTCTCCAGCCCTGGAGGGTTAAGAGAGAATTGGAGGGTCTCAGCCAGAGACCCGTTTGCCTCAGGAAGCCAAGCTCGTCTGGATCCACCATGGCCTGGGCCCCTCTGCTCCTCATGCTGCTCACTTACTGCTCAGGTGATACATGATGTTTGGTTTTCCCCCTGGCTGACTGCAGATCATGTTAACTGGGGATAAAGTCAATGCTGAGTCTTTTTATCCATTCATTTTCTCCTCCTGTTGCAGGTTCTCTCGCCCAGTACGTGCTGACTCAGCCGCCTTCAGTGTCTGTATCTCCAGGGCAAAATGCTCAACTCACCTGCTCAGGGAACAACATTGGTAGCAAGAATGTGCAGTGGTTCCAACAGAAACCCGGCAGTGCCCCACTACTCGTTATATATGCTAGTAGCAGCAGACCCTCCGGAATCCCGGATCGATTCTCTGGTGCCAAATCCGGTAACACGGCCACGTTAACCATCACTGGAGTCCAGGCGCAGGACGAGGCTGATTATTACTGTCAGGTGTGGGACAGCAACGCTGCTCACATTGACACAGCCAGATGGGGAAGTGAGACACAAACCTCTTGTTATCAACAAAAACATGTCCTGTGTCCTTACAAGGGCTTACTTTTGTGGCGGAGATGGTGTGTGAAGGGAAGATGTTTTCTCTCAGTCACAATATTTCCAGTTCCAGTGACTGGTCACCTACTCACTGTCCTCACTGGGGATTTCACTGTACAACAAGTTCTCATTGAGGGCTAGAGGAGTGGGAGTGATTTGTAACCAGTGGGAATTCACTTACGGCTTCTTAAGCACTTAAAGCAATAAACTATGCATCTCCCTCCATTGCTCCAGACAAGCTTGGGTTCTCTGTCTCAAACCTACACTTCCAAGAATTAAAATACCCTCCCTCCCCTCTGAGCGTCCGCCCAGAACCAATATAGTCTCTAATGGGGAAACTTGAGCACGGAAGCAGGGCAATGGAAGCTGCCCCCGCACTCCACCCCCCCAGCGCCAAACCCTTTGGTGCCTTTGGCCTCTCACTCAGGAATGGTCAGAACCTCTCAATCTGCCCTGGGTCAGCTCCAGAATTGCTGAGCTGGTTCAATGACAGCAGGGCGTTTGCAGAAGATACTAGAGGTCTCAGGGCAAGGTGTGGGGATCTCTGCACTGATCCCCAGCTCTTTGTGTCCCACCTCGTGTTTAATGCAAGTAAATAAAGTTTTGGGGATGAGCCATGGTTCTGTCAGCCAGTGTCGGGATAGTCGCCGTCACCCCCTGCTCACTGTTTGTGCTGCTCATAGCAAACCCTTCCCCTCCCAGGCTTGAGTTATGTGGGGCTGTGGGTGGTCACTCATTTTAAAATCCAGGAACTTTAAAAAATAAACAGAGGTTAAATATTCCCAACTGGAGAGTCATGTCCGTGTTTGATTTCGCAGCTGGTTCAATCTGGGTGCTGGGGAAGGGATCTGAGAGCCTCCCCTCCCCTCCCACAGTGGCCAGTCTGCCATGGGACCCTGCCTGTGAGATCGGCTTCATTGTGAAGAACTCTTGCAAACGCCTGAATTCAGTTGGGAACTGAACTGAACTTCATGGGTCAGGAACAGAAGATTCCAGAAAGCAGGCACTCAGAGTAGTGTTGGACAGAGCTGGGTCCTCCCTTCCCCACAAACACAGACACAAGATAGCCTTTGCTAATGAACATTTGAGGGTGTGTATTGGCCTGTCTTGGTGTTGCTGAGACTCCGTGTCGGTTTGTGTCGTTGGTGATGTTTCTAGCACTTTCCCAACTGCCAAGAGCAAGGAGCCAGGAGAATTCCTGAGGAGAAGCCTCCTCAGACTGTGATGTGTCTCACTGGTCTTTAGTAATAACAATGACAATAACACTGAGTTCTTCAGTGGGATTTTCATTCCTAGCTCTCAGCACAAGGGGCGGCAGAGTCACCACCCAGTTCTCTGAATTCCATTTTCTGCCGAATAAAAACTGCTCATGAATAAACAGAAGCTCGTGTAGCCCAGCTGGGTGGCCTGGAGATGATGGAAATAAATCATCCCAGTGAGCAAAGAGCAGCTACTAAGGACGTAGATTCCTGAACACAAAACCCAGATCCTCTAGTGTGGTCCCTTAGATGGGAGAATGGAATTTTGCAGCATCCCCCCATTTCCTCCTTAGCTCTGCCCTGGTGGGCTCCGGAAATGGTTAATCCTGGGCAAAGTGTATTTATTGACCTCTCCTCCTCAGAAACTGCTGAGTTCGTTTCTGATCAGTGTGAATGATCAATGAACCCTCAGGCAAAGCAGGGAAATGACAGGCCGACAGGGGAAGGATTGGGAAAGTTACAAATAATTGAAAACAAGGGGATAGAATGAAAACTGTGGCACAGTCTGAACTCCATCAGCCTCCACTGTGAGCGTTGAAATGAAACCTTGATCCTGGCAGATGGTCATTGCTGGAGTGGAGCTGAGCTAGTGGCCTTATAGAGCCGGAACTTCTCCCCAAGGGATGGTCTCTCCTCCCACGTGCCCAGCTCTCTGTGATCATAGGACCCAATCAGATAAGAACAAACTAGAATAAAGGTGGAGCTTAGATGCTCCTCCCCCAGGAGGATCAATATAAGGGGCAGAGACTGTCAGGCCTTCTCAGTGGATCTGGCTGTTTTCTCCTAAGGGTCCGAAATCTCCTCACCATGCTCTGGGCTCCCCTCATCGTCCTACTGGGGACGTGGTGCACAGGTGAGAACAGGGGGCAATGGGTTAAATAAGTTGCTGCTGAAGCCGATGCACAACCAGATTCAGTAGCGTCTGGGGACTGATAGGGAGGTGTTGATAGATTTCCACCATTTTTTCCAGGTTCCAGCTCGCAGACTGTGGTGACTCAGCCGCCTTTAGTGTCAGTGTCCCCAGGAAACACCGTGAAACTCTCCTGCACCATGAGCAGTGGGACCAGCATCGGTGACCACGTTGTGTCCTGGTACCAGCAGAAATCTGGGAATTCCCCACGATACCTGCTGTATTACTATTCAGAGTCCGACAAGGGCCAGGGCTCTGGGGTCCCTGCTCGCTTCTCTGGTTCCAAAGACACGTCCAGTAACGCCGGCTATCTGACCATCTCCGGGGCACTGGCAGAGGATGAGGCTGATTATTACTGTGCTGTGAGGAAGCGTGGCACTGGTGTTCTACACTGTGACACAGACAGATGGGGAAGTGAGACAAAAACATCCTTCCCTCCTCTCCCCCGGCCTGGGCCCTGTGTGCAAACTTCACCAGTTGCACAGTTTTGTCTCTGGCTGCGACAAATCACACAGCAGTTTGTGACCAGGAAATTCAGTCCATACAGCTATTTACAGCTCCCTCCTCATTGTCCTTCTGCAGGATGGGGACTATGACCTTCTTCTCCCTAAGAGTCAGCATCCCCTCTGCTATCAGAGTGGGGAGCGGGAGACAATACTCCTATCACAGCCGTAAGTGTCAGCACAATTTAATTCCTTCTCAGACCTTCCCCAAGGCCTCCAGCAAACACAATGGAGTCAGGCCCTGAGATTTCTGATGCAGAAACACATCA